CAGTCAGTTCCAAGAAGCTGGCGTAAGGCTGTACAAGCTCATTCTTGCTCTCAACTAAATCTGGGGCTCAAAGTTTAAGAGTCTGAACGTCTCGCGCCCGCACTCAAAACACTTTGAAGTCTCGGTCTCGCAATCTTAAATGTCAAAACATCTCGGGCTCGCAACGAAAAACGCTTGTCTCGCCGTCTCGCAAAGTCTAGCATTTACCGTTCGCCACCCCTAGCTTTCGCACAATGTCAGATTTTTTTTTCAAATGTCATATAAATTACAACCTGGAAATTGAAACCTGGATAAGTTGTAGAATAAGCTAATTGCAAATGGATATCTTCTGGCTTCATACTTCAGGCATGCGGTTTTCTTCAAAATGGCAATGAACCACATAGCGATGAATAGTTCAATACGGACTACTCATAGCCAAAGTTTGAGCGATTTTGAAATTTTGAAGTTTGCCACTCCATGTTTGATTTTCGTGGACATGTGCTCTTAATTAATTGACAACCATCTTTGATTCTGTCCCTCAGTTAATATTTAAACTTAACTAGCTATGCTGGCTAGGGTATTCCAATAGGGGGTGCAACGTATAATATCATTGTCCAGACAATAAAAAGTTTAATGCATGTAGACCTCGAGTTTCGAGTGGAAACTGAATGTTGAAGACCACGGTCAACATTTCCTCTGGTTCTAACACCACCCAGGCAGACATAGCTAATCACGGCTGGTCGCACATCTAGTCATGGCAGGTTTGCTTCAGTCACTTCTACAGCAATCTCGGAGCTTCCCGGTAAATGAAAACTTAAGTCTCTCACATCTGCAGTCGGAACAGTTGGAAATGAAGGCTGACGACCATGTTGGTTGCACGTGGAAACTTCAAGACGTGACCAGGCTTTCTTTTTGCCTTCAATCGGCTGGCGAACAATCGAACTACCTCTGAATAATTTCTTGAAGGCGATTCTGAACTCTTTGGATCTGAACATGTAAACAATTGGGTTGAGGGCGCTGTTTATTGCCGTCAACATGATGACGGAATGGCGGAGTGCGTTAGGGACTCGATTGGGCCCAAGTTTTACCGTGAGCAATATACAGATGAATCCTGGAAGATAGCACAAGGTGAACGCACCGATCGCGATAACTGAAAAAAGCAAACACAAAAACCAAAACCAGGTTAAAAAATGTAACTTAGGCCAGGAGGAAGTCTGTAAGAAAGCAAATCCTTACTCTCGACCAAATTTATTTGAGGTCTATATCATTGTGTCTCATTCTGAGAAGCTATATTTTAAAGTCACACCTGTCTGGTGATTGATCATTCTTATCGATGTTTTTTTTCGGCCCAAACTCTTAATTCAATTTCAAATGATTATCAAGGAATACCATGCTAATCATTCAAAACAGTAAAAAAAGCACTGAACATGGCGCTGCATGTATATGGGTGATACTTGAGGGTTTGTTCCTTTTGAATCAGAGACTCTTTCAGGATTTTTCCAGGCTTTTCACTGTCAAAGTTAGCCAAAATAAGTCATGTAATCTTACCGGCTAATGTTTGGATTTCTGCCTTTTTTTTCGAGGTTTCTTTTATAGATGTAAACTCTGGGCATTTTATAGCAGGCAACATCTCATTGCCATATCAATAATCCCTCAGAAGCAAGCCATATTTCATGATAATCTGAAAAAAAGATGCTTCCTTGTTCTCGCCGTCAAACCCAAATTTGTAGCTCACGTAACAACAGCTTTTTTCGGTAATTAAAATCGTGCATTGTGTTTGTATCACGTGATTAGTGTACTGACGGGGTCTCTAATTGCCTGCATGTGACGGGAGATGACACATAGGGCTCTTGATTAATTCTAGAAGAACGTGATGTGTTATCACCATAAATACATTACACGTGATTCAGATGAAAAGTAATGAATGGCTATCTGGACTAAAGTAAAGTTGATAAAATGAACTTAGAATACTAGCAAAATTAATTTGATGTGTATTAGTGGGATTAATAAGGCTCTAGTTACCTGTTGTCTTCACCCATTTCATCTCTTTTCGCTTCCTTTTCCTTAAGTCAGCAGTTTCGGGGTTCAGGTTTTCGCCAGGCTCAACTCGGCTGCTCTGAGACCATGAGATTTTGGCGATATGGCCATAGACGAAAATCGTCACCACAAATGGAATCACCACGAACAGGGTGCTGTTGAAGACAAGATGAACTTTATGCATCAAGAGATGTTCGCTTGTGAACTCAGAGCAACCTATGATGCTTGTTCTAAACTGAGTGCCGTCACTGTCAACGTAAAACAGGGGAAAGACCACCATGGAAATCACAGGAGCAACCCAGGCAACCAACAAGGCTAGCGTCACGCGTGTTCTGGTAACAATTTCAGTGTACCTCAGAGGATATATGATAGCAATGTAGCGATCGCAACTAAGAAGACAAATATGACCAATGCTGACGTACAAGAGTACTCCAAACAGTACTATAAAATGTTTACAGGCTTTGTTTGCTGCTTGAAAATCGTACAGCCAAATCAAACGGAAGAGGAGAAACGACAGCAAGGAGAAGTCAGACATTGCTAAGCTGGCCAAAATAGAACTGCTTGGTCTTTGTCTGAGGGAACGCGTGCCATAAATAACCAGGCAAACAGAAATGTTACCGAGCAAGTTTGCTATAAACGTGGGGCTCAGAACAGCGGTTTGTAAAGCAATAGAGACGGTACTTGGCTGAGACGCTGTGAAACTAGGGTCAAAACTTTTAGAAGCGCTATTAGAACCATCCATGTTGTTTAAGACTTCGTTTCCTCGGTCGATTTCTTACCAAACTGTTGCAGGCGGAACTGCATGTTTATTAGTGGCGATTGATAAACGTACAGTTCCGGGTATATACGTTCGATTTATACGTTTTTTTTTTTTTTGTTTTTTTCAGCGACTCGAGTTCGTTTCCTCGTTTTTGTCCTTGCCGTATATTTAAAGTCGTCTCTAAAAGGAAATCCTTTGTAATTATTTCAATGCAATCATAACCTAATGTTTTGAACAAGAAATCAGCCTGATCTAAGAACGCAAATACCAAACTACAGCTTCCTAAAAAGTTTATGCCTCAAAACTTGGACTGAACTGATTCAGAACTAGTGTCAAAGCTTGTGTGTACATTTAACGAAATAGGTTTGACACAGCAACAGAAAACGGCGGAAAATTAAGGGCCATTGTAATGCTTCCTGTAGGCTTTACCTTTAAATTTGACGAAAAGAAGTTTTATGAGGGACTTTTTATAAAATGTATAGCATTTCTTAGCTAAAATAGTCTTCGATAACTCCTTGTCAATTGTCACTTAAAAAAGGTTTGGGAATTAAAATATTCCAAATGAATGAAAACTTTATTCACTTATTTAAACTAAGTACTTAAATTTTGTTTATTTTATCCTTAATTAAAGCAGGTGGAAAGGTGTGAAGGTTACAAAGAAACGTAGGTTTTTTTCAAAAATAACAGTAATAATAAAACAAAGGGAAAAAACGGAGGACTTGGCACATGTGTGACGGAGACACCTTTTTCGTTTGTGTCACCGTTTCCTCTTATCGTATTTCTCGTGATTTATTACTTCGTCTTCGCGCAACACGTGAGTTGTAACTTTGGTGTTAATTTAAGGTGGCTCAAAACAGTTTCCAGCACTTTCCAAGACTTAGATTTTGATGAACCAATATCACCACTCTTTATCAGTTGATGCTACAATCATGGTATCAAGACTGTCCAATCGTTGGTGAAAACGCTGTTATCATTTTCGTGACACGAAGGTTACCATGAGAACA